AAAAAAAAAAAAGATTTAACAGTTTTTGTCGTTTGTTCATCTGGTGCTTGGTACAGCAAGGCCCCTCGTCCTCCGCGATCTGCCAGGGGACGTGCTGCACTTCAGTCCCAATAAGTATGAATCTTCTATTAGTCCGTGGAAAGGTACAAAGAATATTAGCAAGGCCCTGCGCATCCTTATCTATTCGCAGCCTGACACCCACGGCGCTGAGGGCTCCTTTGGCAGCGTTGGCCGCCCAATGGGGAAAAGAGAGAACGTGCAGGGGAAAAAGAAAGGAAAGAAAGACAAAGTGGAAAAGAGGGAAACCACCACCCTAGAAGTACCAGTCCCCTGCATTGAAGGACCGGTAACCTGCTATAACTCGACTGCTCACCAGCTACTTTCACCCGAGACAGACAGGTTCGGCAGCTTGCCAGAAAAAGGTTCGAGAAGGTGGCTCGGAAGGTACTGGTGGTTTAAGGACTGGGTATTCTATCAGGGCCCGCTTTAATCTTTTCAGGGTAGCTGTACAGTCCTTGTCCCATTTTCAGATTGCCTCTTTCTTTAGCAACCTGCGAAGGGATGCAGCGATGGTGGAGAAGTTCCTGACGAACTTCCTTTAGTAATTAGCTAGGCCTAAGAACGACCGCAACTCTGTCAGTGTGCGGGGCGTTGGGCAGTCTCTAATCGCTGCAATCTTACTATCTTCAGATCAAACGTCGTCTTCGTCTAAGACATGGCCCAAATACAACACTTGTGTTTTGGCCCATTCGCACTTCTTTGCGTTGATCTTGAAGTTAGCTTCTCTAAGCTTCTCCAAGACCTGCCTTAGATGGCCCTCGTGCTCCTGGAGGGTCTTACTGAACACTAGAATATCATCTCGATACACCACAACAAATCTTTCTAACCACGGCCTAAACAAATCGTTCATACAATGCTGGAAAGTCGCTGGCGCATTGGTTAGTCCAAAGGGGATAACTATACACTCATAGTGCCCATATCTAGTCCGGAACGCTGTCTTATGCTGATCATCAGGGTGAACCTCTATCTGATGGTAGCCGGATTTTAAATCTATCTTCGAGAAATACTTGTAGCCCTGCACTCGATCCATCAGATCATCTATACGGGGCAATGAGAGAGAGAGAGAGAGAGAGAGAGAGAGAGAGAGAGAGAGAGAGAGAGAGAGAGAGAGAGAGAGAGAGAGAGAGAGGAGTGAGAGAGAGAGAGCAGGTAAGTTTCCAATGTCGCGGCTAACCTCATGGTACTTCCACCGACAAACAAAGCCTCGCGCATCAACGCGATAGTGTGAGGGAGAGGGGGAGGCAGCAGGAGCGGAAGAGGCAGTGGGAGTGGGAGCGGGGGAGGCAGCAGGAGCGGAAGAGGCAGTGGGAGTGGGAGCGGGGGAGGCAGCAAGAGCGAAAGAGACAGTGGGAGTGGGAGCTGGAGAGGCAGCTGGAGCGGGGGAGGCAACGGGAGCGGGAGAGGCAGCAGGATCAGGAGCGGGAGAGGCAGCGGGAGCGGGAGCAGGGGAGGCAGCGGGGGTGGGAGAGGCAGCAGGAGCGGAAGAGGCAGTCGGAGTGGGAGCGGGAGAGGCAACGGGAACGGGGGAGGCAGCGGGAGTGGGGGAGGCAGCGGGAGCAGGAGAGGCATCAGGATCGGGTGCGGGAGAGGCAGCGGGAGCGTGAGCAGGGGAGGCGGCGGGAGCGGGAGAGGCAGCAGTAGCGGGAGAGGCGTGAGCAAGGGAGGCAGCGGGGGTGGCAGCGGGAGCGGGCAGCGTATGTGTGTATGTGTGTGTGTATGTGTGCATATGTGTGGCCGTGTGTGTGTGTGTGTGTATGTGTGTGTGTGTGTGTGTGTGCGCGCAAGTGTTTGTGTGTATGTGTGTGAATGTGTTTGTTTGTGTGTGACTGTGTGTGTGTGCCTGCACACACATTTTTTTTCCATTTTTTATATTCCAAAATCAATCAATCAATCAATCAATCAATCAATCAATCAATCAATCAACCAACCAACCAACCAATCAATCAATCAGTCAATCAATCAATCAATCAATCAATCAATCAATCAATCAACCAATCATTAAATCAATCAATCAATCAATCAATCAATTTTTTTTTTTTCTATTTTTTTCTATTATTTTTTTCACACACCAAAAACCACACCCCCCCGAGAAAAAAAAAATTGAACTTTTTTCTGTTCAAGGGGGTGGGGTCGGGGTTCCGGAACCCCGAACCGCAACCCCCTTCCCCAACCCCCTCTCCCCTCGGCCGCGGCGGGCCGCCAAAGTCCGCGCGCGGTCGTGACCACGGCCCCGCAGCCCCGACCGCAGACCGCGGTCGTGCCCACAGCGACCTTGGCCGTGGGGGATTCATAGCTCTAAAGCACTTGCAAACCGGATGGCCGAAGTACTGGAAGATGTGATCCACCCCACCCAGGCAGGTTTCATGGCCAATAAGAATATACAGGAAAATATCTTGCTAGTGAATGAAATTGTTAGCTTGTCTCAGAGGAATCGAACAAATGCGGCCATCATATTCATAGACTTTGAAAAGGCGTATGACCATGTAGATTGGGACTTCTTAGACAAGTGCCTAGAGAAAATGAACTTTGGACTGCATTTTAGACGGTGGGTCAGAATCTTACACAAAAACGCCTCCACCTGCGTGCAGATCAACGGGTCGGTGGCCCCGGCATTCGAGCTCCAGCGCTCGGTTAGGCAAGGGGACCCCATTGCCCCCTTCCTTTTCCTAGTGATAATGGAGGCACTATCTGCCAACCTGCGAAGTAACAGGGATCTCACGTGGATCAAGATCATAGATATCCCAGAGGAGGCTGTGCCGATATGCTCTCTTTTTGCTGACGACCTCACAATTATGGTAGAAGCTAGCATAAGTAACATGCAGGAGATACAAGCCCTGATGACCCACTTTTGTAGACTGTTTGATATGGATGTCAACTGGGGACAAAAGACAGTAGGCTGGTGGTTACACCATCAAGGGGGAAGACCCCCCGAAAATCCACGTATCACGTGGTTGCCCTTGGATGCCCCCTTTAGGGTTTTGGGGGCGTTGGTGACAGCAAAAGGGAGGCCCCCCACTAACGATGAATGGTTAGTGACCCCGCCGCAGGCAAAACTGACAAGTTGGAACAACAAACACTGTTCAGTGTTCGGGCGAGCCCTAGTTATTAACAATGTGATATTAACCACCCTTTGGTATAAGGCAATTCTTTGGCCAATCACCAATGGGGGGTTAAAAGCGCTTAAGTGACAACTGGCGGCCTTCTTATGGAGAGGGGATAGTGTTTCCCCCCATGCTATTAGTCGGACCGCATGGGAGTCAGTGGTGCAACCCAAGGCTGGGGGGGGGCTAGGGATTATTGACCCCACTACGCAAAATCAGGCTTTGAGCCTGCGATGGATCCAACACATTATTTTTTCTATTTTCTCCCCATAGGTACCCCTAGCCGGCCCTGGCTCCGGAGGCACCGCCGGAGATTGACCCTGTAGTTTGGTTGGAGGACAGATACTGGAAGATACCAAGAAAGTATAGGAACAAAGATCCGGCGGATGAACACTGGTTATACCTTCTAAGAACATGGAGGAGAATCCCACTGTCGGACCGACGGGAGCCAGGAAGGTGGGAGGAGGTGTTTAGACAACCCCTTTTTGGTAACCGACGGATCACGAACTCCACGAGACAAGTAAGGAATAGCTCTGACCCTCCCTGGCGAGGATGGGTGAAACACGGGGCCAGGAGAGTAGGTGACCTCTGAGATACCTCTTCTAAAGAATGGAAAAGCGTGGATAGAATGAGGGGCTGGCTCAGGTACTTCCACCAAACACAATCAGCGTTGGAAGAACTGATTGAGAGTTCCCCCCTTCAGTGGTACTATATCCTGCGAAAAGGCCCGAGCATACAGGAAGGGGACTGGGTGGGTCTGTCTGGCCAAGGGGAACAGGTGGGAAGGGTGCAAACTGTTGAGAGAGAGGCATCTCTGATAGAACTCTTCTTTGTGGGAAAGGATGGAAAGTTACAAGGGAGCCGGCAGCCGTTAGTCTGGAAAGTGAAGGGGGAGGTCTATCGTATCAGAGTGTTGGAGGATGGTCAGGGATGGAGAGCTTTCAGGCCGATGACCCCAATTGAGGACCTCCCCCTCGACCCCGATGAATGGCAATGTTCCACAACCGGCCGGCCCAACCCACGACGACGGGGCAGGGGGAGCGAAGGAAAGCCGATAGCATTACTCACTATGAAAATCAAATCAGCGTATCGAATGATGAGACCAAAACGCAGCCTGAGGGATGTAGTGGAGGAGAGGTGGCACCGACGTCTCAATGTGGCTACGGCCCTTGCCACTAAAATGGTTTAGGGATTATGGGATGAGGCCAGCGAAGATTTCCGCCCTCCAATGGCAGAAACCACACGCCCCTTGCAGTGCTAGTGGCCTTGATGAAGCAGACACCACTAACACCCGAGAAGGGGCTCCATCTATTGGTGGGGAGCATCACCTGCTGGAAAACGAGTCCAGCGTCCCATATACAGAGTGAATACCAAAAACTGAGAAAAGAAGCCTGCCAGCATTGATTGCTCTGCTCTGCAGAGGATCAACTGTGCAGGTTATTGAGAGGAAATTGAACACCTATTCCTCCTTCCCCCTTTTTTGCCCAATCTGTTTTTGGATGTTGTGACTGGCATGTATGAGAGGAGCACTGCCTACTGCTGACCCACTCACACCACTCCGTACCATTGCATATCCACCATGGTCAACTGATGGGGAGGGAAGGGATCGGGAAATTCCGAGGGGGGCCGCAACGGGATCCTCGGATCCACCGTTGTCCAATCTCTGAAGCAGATATGATAGTCTCTCTTGATTGTCGCATGGCTGCCTTCCTCAGTACCTTCGTTATCTTCGGGGCTGCCGCCCCCCTCCCATTTGATGAAGGCAATTCGGCCCCCGTTGTCGCTGCCCAACCAGTCCCCTGAAAATTGTGAAATTTTTTGTCTTATATCTTTTTGTGTCTGAAGCCTATCCAGCTGATCTTTGACTTTCTGCCATTGTGCCCTGAGGTCCTGGAGTACATATTGTTTAATCATATTTGTCATTTCCTCCCAGGCTATGCGGACCCTTTCCATGACATGTATACATCGACTTCTCCATATGGCCCACATAACGGCTCTCCTCCCTATCCTATACATGTTGTTTTCGAAGGTGCTGTCTGAGGGGGAAGTCCATGTCTCATGTTTGCCAACTAACGACTGGCTAATCGACCACACAAGCCTGGAACAGTAGGGCCGGGCATTACCATGGTGCCAGAGTTGCCTTTAGAGTTTTCCAAGCCGGAAAAGCCCTGAGACAGTGGAACACATTTTCCTTCAATGCCCTGCTGCGGTGTTACTCTGGCGAGGATGGGACAGAATCTGGCGACACATGATCCCGAACTCAGCATGGCCATGGGAGTGGAGGACCATCCTACTGGGGCATTGTCCGCAGGGGTATACAAGCTGGGAAGGCGCTCTATCCTATGGGTTATTTGGTGGAGAAGATGCATCCTAGCAATGGAGGGGGCTCGGGGGGAAGAGGGGGAGGTTAAGGAACAGCTGCGGACATTGGTACAGTCCGAGATATTAGCACAGTGGTGTGCCGCAAAGAAATTGTTGGACCAGGCACACTCCAGGAGCGACATGGGTAAGATTCTCTCTCGTTATGGGGAAAACTGGTTGGGAGGAAGGAGGGGGGGTTGGGTGGCAGAGGTGAAATGGACAGGGGACGCACCGAGGTCGCAGCAGGAGCAACAACAAGACCAGCGCCAGGAGGAGGAGGTCGAAAGGGATTATAGGCTGTGCTTCCGAGATTGGCTAACCATCGATCCCAGGGAGCCATTGCGTCCAGCCCAGGATTTTGCAGATCCGTTCCCCCCCCACCCTCTAGCCCTAATGGAGGTCCGGCAGGATGTGATATGAGTGAGATTGAGTGGACTGCGTCTGGATTCGGGACCAAAGGTCAGACCTAGGAAGATAGGGACAGTCGGATGGGACGCTGGACACGGTTTCCAGCAAAGGTGCTGCTACCAATTTCAATGGGACGCTGGACAGGGTGGGGAGGAAGAGTTGAAAGCGAAAAAGTCTGCCAGCTATATCATTTTCATCACTCTTCAGTTCTCATTCAGTTCTCATTTTCAGACCCTTTTTAGACCCTTTTTAGACCCTTTTCAGGTTTCTGATAATTTTTCAGACATTTTTCAGACATTCTCAAGGACAGTGCGACAGGCTGGGGAACAGACGGGGACCACTGGTGGCCCCCAGTGGCCCTGCTGGGCCCTAGCCCAAGGCCTTGATTGGAAAGTACAGGATAGTTACCAATGGGACGCTGGACCCGGTTTCCAGCACGTTATCTCATGATTCCTCATGGCTTTTCCAAATGTAAAGGGACGCTGGACCCGGTTTCCAGCAGGTGCTGCTCCCCACGAATAGATGGAGCCTGTCTGGGGGTGCTGGCGGTGGCTGCCAACGCCAGCACCTCTAGCATCACCCAGGGAGTGGTTTCAAAAAAAAAAAAAAAAAAGAACGGGGAGCTGCAAGGGAAGACCTCACCAAGGACGCCTTTTGGGCCAACCTCCTCAAGAACTGCACACAACTCCGGCTCCCGGACAGAATAGCTCCAGAAAGGTGGGAAGAGGTGATGCACAGACCCCTATTTGGAAATCATTGGATCACAGACAACAAAAGCTGCATCTTTCGCAGCTCAACCCCCCCCCTGCACAGCGGGGTCAAAAGAGGTATTGTGCAGGTCCGGGACCTGTCGGACATGGAACCGACGGACTGGAAATCTACAGGACAACTTCAGGCGACTCTCAAACACCGCCATAGAGTAGGCGACAAACGATCTTCCCCATACCGCTAGCGTGGGAACACATCCTGAAGAAGGGACCGATACTGAGGGAAGGGGACTGGGCAGCACTCAGGGGAGAGACAGAGACTGTGGGGAATGTCGTACTGATTCGAGAAGGAGAGGTGCTGCTCAACCTCCTCCACTGACAGGCAGATAATACCCTGATACACTTTGGCCCGGACACGGTGGCTTGGCTGAGCAAGGACAGAATCTACCATATTTGTGTTCTGCAGGAGGAGGAAACCTGGACAGCATTTGACCTGGACACCCCTCTGCAGGAACTCCCCTTTGACCCGGTGGAGTGGCAGTGGACCACCTCGAACCCTTGTGCATAGAGCAGGCCGAGGAAACTGAGCACACTAACGATGTAGGCAACCTACAGGATGCTACGACCCAAGGTGGACTCAAAAGCTAAGATTGAGCAGTGATGGATCAGACAGTTTAACGTGGCCCGAGAAGCGGGGAGAGCAATTCGTTGGTTCACCGAAACTTGCTCTAGACCTGCCAAAACTGCATCCTTGCAGTGGCAGATCGGGCACAGGTGTCTCCCCACGAACGACTGGATTATAGACAAAACCAGATTAGAACAAAAGGGGGTGGCCCTTTCCTGGTGCAAGCTGTGCCTGACAGGTTTCCCATCTTGGACGTGCAGAGAAACAATAGAGCACATCTTCCTGCAGTGCCCGGGAGTGCTGCTGCTGTGGCGATGGTGGACGTATCTGGAGGCAGCTGGGTACGGAAGCTCCATGGCCATGGGACTGGCGGGCCCTGCTATGCGCAGCATGGCAAGCACCACAAGCCACTACGTTCGCCAAGAACATGTTCAAACTGGGGCTGAGGGGAGTCCTGTGGGCGCTATGGGTGAGGAGATGCGCTAACGAGATTGAAGGAGTCAGGCTGGAGGGACCAGAATTGATGGACATAATTAAGCAACAAATTCAAAACGAACTAATGGCATAGTAGGTCCGCGGCAAGGAAAATCTGAGCACTCTCCAACAAAAAATTCAGAAATTTGCAGAAGAATGGCTAGGGGGAAGACAAAGGGGCTGGACAGCTGGAATCAGATGGAACGGAGGCCAGGCGGAAGAATCAGACCTTTTCAAGTGGGACTACAAGCTCAGCTTTCACGAGTGGACTGCAGTGGATGCTTCGGTACCGCTTTGGCCGCCAACAGACTTCCCGAATCTCTTCCCACCCCAGCAGCTGTCAATGGTGGACCTTCAATGGTATGGCGGTGCGCGACAATAAGGGGAGGCGAAGACACCAGAGACTGCTTGAGACAACAATTCCGATCTGGCGGCCCTAAGGTAGTAGCTGAAGAGGCAGTCGGATCTTTTTTTTTTTTTGGAAACCACTGCTTTCCTACTAGGTGGGGTGGTATGAGCATTCCCTCCAAGTAGTTCAGCCGGGTGCTCCAACCTATTGATGGGGAGCAGCACCTGCTGGAAACCGGGTCCAGCGTCCCACATTGCAGTAATGAGCCGACCTTCCATTAGGCAACACATCGTTCCCTAGGGAGGGAGGAGGGGAGTCGACTTGGAGGGCAGCCCCAGGCTCCATGGGTCTCCGCTGCTTGGGGTTCCATCCTCGCCCCTCTCCTCCCCCTCCAACCTTCCTCATCAGTTGGTGTCTTGGAAACGCTCCGCCAGAGACAGCGGGTGTCGGGGGAAGGGGTCCGGAAGTCTGAAGGAGGTCTCAGTGGTACACCTGGGTCCACTGCTGTCCAGTCATGAAAGCGGCGCTGGGAGTCCGTCTGGGCGTCAGCCCCTGGCCTCTCCTCCCCCGCCTCCTGGGCCCTGGGTACATCCCCTGACCAGGCTACTTCTGCCATCCAACCCCTCCGTTTCCCCCTCAGCCAATCGTCGTAGAATCGGGAGATAACCCCGTTCATGTCTCTTTTCGAATGCATGAAGTCCATTCTTTGCTTGGCCGCCCGCCATTGGTTGGCGATCTCACTGTCTATGAGTTGCTTCACTTGTTCAGAAATTTCCACCCCTCCACTCTTGCTCCCTCTATCTCCATGATACATCGCTGCCACCACAGGACCCAGAGGATGGATCGTCTTCCCAGGTGGAACATATTTTCCTCAAAGTTCTCACCTTGGAGGCGAGCGCAGGCAGTTGGATCTTGACTTCTCCAGAATCCCTATCTTGAGCCGAAGCCAGGTAATGGCCCCAGTAGCGGCGGTAGGTGTTGCAGTGTACGCTGGGCCCGGTTTCCAGCAGTGAACCAATAGATCAGAGCCATCAGCAGGCGGCTACTATGAGTGGATGCTCATACCACCTCGCGTAGTACGGCCAAGGGGGGCAAAAAAAAAGGACGCTGGACCTGCTTTCCAGCTGAATGATGTCAAGGAAGGGACGCTGGACCCGGTTTCCAGTAGGTGCTGCTCCTCACCAGGGAGCCATCCACCTAGCAGGACTTCAATCCTGGTGGTTCACTCACCACCAGTGGGATAGTGGCCCAGCAATGTGATGTTTTTTCGAAAAAAAAAACAAAAAAAAAACAAAGATCCACAGAGGAAAAAGGGGGGAATAAAAAAGCACGTTCTCTGTCCTTCAGGAAGTCTGTTAAAATTGGAAAGGTACAGAGAAGATTAGCATGGCCCCTGGCCAAGGAGACCGATAAATCGAGAAATGGTCTTTTTTACTTTTCTTTTCTTTTCTTTTTCCCTAAAAAACAGAACCTTAGGGTTCTGGCTCCGTTTCCATTCTGGGGAACATCAGTCCGGTTCCTATTCCACGGCAAGTCAAAAAAGGTTACATTGAATACACTCTCATGCTCCTCCCCCTTATGGCATGGAGGCCCGAAGAACGGCATTGATTACTTCTCTGAGGAAGAATCGAGAAATGGTCTTAAATTAAACACGAAAGAAAAAAAATGTGCACTCTGTCCCCCCTGCTCTCTCGTTCCTCTCTCTCTCTCTCTCTCTCTCTCTCTCTCTCTCTCTCTCTCTCTCTCTCTCTTGTGTGCCTGCACTTTTTTCCTTGAACCACCAGCCTTGTAGAAAACGAATCCGTCGCCACCACCACAAGTTTCGGGGCTTTTCGGGGCCCGGGCAACTGATGGAAATGGCTGCCTCTGCCAGCCAAAACAAAAGAAAAACGCTGTGCTGGCACTTTGGCAAATTTCCACGTGCAGGGGGTGCGTAGGTTCAGGGGAACAGCCCCGGGTGTAAGGCTGGTTTAAGACCGCACGTGTTGATAGTTTATGCCCTCTTGCAAGGCAATTCTTGTTGTCTCCATTGTGAGTCATCGCCTAAAAGCCAACAACACCATCCCTGAAATGCCAGTAGCGCTGTGCGAACAGAGTTGTGGCATCACTCATACTAATCCTCATTGGCTCCATGGGGCACTGTCCCTGGAATGCCAACAGCATTGTCATTGTGGTATTTTATCCCACAGTTCCCACTGGAGCCTTGGCTATCATACTCAGCGATAGTGAGTCAGCCTGACTGCAGGAGTAAGACCCTCAACTATTATACTCAGTGGTAACCACAATCATAGCCCTGCATTCCACCCAAAATGAAATAAAGGAAGCACATACCCAACAGGCACATGAACAAGGTCAGGATTCCACTCTGGCAATGTCTAACTGTATCTGTTTGCAATGGTTGGTTCCTGTAGAGATTTCCTTGCTTGGAGAAATTGAAGCTCTCTACTAGCAGCTTGCAGACACTAAGGTGAGAAGCAAAAAAGGGTGATTCTACTGAAGTTTAGTACCATCACATCAGTATCCATCCATCTACTTTATAAACACCCTAAAGTTGCTGGCTCCAGTGCTAAAAACCCAGTAGGACCGGGGGGTCCTCCCCCAGCCGGAACCGGACCGGTCCTACCGGCCGGTCGACCGGGCCGGTTCCCCCCCGGTTGGCTGTAGCGAATCTTTTTTTTTTTTTTTTCTTTTTTTCTTTTTCTTAGCCCATGGTGTTGTTGAGGCCAAGGACTAGACCCACAGTGATTGCTGGCAGCGGCAGCCGGTGGTTGTCCTGACAGGATAGGCCACCTTCCCTACCCTTCCCCACGTTAATGCTCCCAGCGCACCCCCTATCCCTACTATCCTACCTCAGTGTCAGGACCATCGCCCTACCAGTATCGAGGGCAGTCACCAGACAGCAGTGACAAGCACCCCCTAACACTATAACCCCCACCCTTTTTTTCAAAGTTTTTGGGTGGGAAGCACCGTCCCTACCCTGCCACTAACAC